CCTGGGAGCTGCTGCCCGCCAATTGGCGAGCCAAGGAGGCCCATCTTTCGCCGCCGCGCCTCAGGAGTAGACAGCGCGGACAGCTAAAGCCCAGGGGAGCCAACATTTCCCAGCCGATCCCCGAAAGAGTTCGAAAGTTACGACTGAAAAGGCCCAGAGGAAGTGATGAACATTTCACACGCCTGCGCAGGTGCAGCCCCAGATGAACTTAGTTCCGCAGGAACTGCAAAAAGTCGGATACAGAAAAAAGCTGATTAAGTGCAAGTGCTATATTGAATATCCCCATATCCCCGCCGCCAGGATTATGTAAAATCAGTCTGGAAAAAATAAGGAAAACAAAGGTGGATGGGGGAACCCAAGCAATGCCACACAATGAGCTGCTGCCTGACCCCCAAAATGGAAAGAAATTAGCCAAGGAAAAAAAGCTGATTGCCAAGAAAAAATTAAAATGCATTGAGCCGTGAAAGTTTTCGTTTACTTGCGGCTTTTTCGTTTGCGGCCGATGAGGTTGCCAGGTGTGTAAGTGAGGTGAGGAAACGAAAAAATTGAAATTTGTTGGCTAATGAAAATGATCACAGGTTAAGGGTGAATAACTGCATTGGTGAAGCAATCGATAGGTGCTAAAACAAAAATTATTTATATTATTTAAGGGTCAAGATTTCGGTGAATCAAAACTTATCAGACATTAGCAAGGTAGTTATTTAAAATATTGTATTGAAAAAATTAATTCCTTTTCGATTTTATAGAACCTGAATTTATTTAATTATACGAAAGCTAGACAAATAAAACGTACTTAAAATAAGTGAGAATCAACAGGAGTGAGTGAACATTAAATATTAAAATTTGAAGGACTCAGTTTTAAAATAACTACTTTTTTAAGTAAATAAATATAAGAAAGAAACTAAATAACAGCTTGTAAAAATAATATTGCCTCACATTTTTTTTTATAAAAACCCACTAAAAACTTACAATCTAAGCTTTGGCAAGTCTAAAAAAAATCATAAGCACCTGAAAAAGTTAACGCTGTAATTGAGCTTGACAGGAAACCTAAAAAAGCAAACATAAACAGAAAAAGAGGGTTTAACGAGAAGCAGATAGAGGGAGACCAAACTGACCAAAGGACACTTGGCTATCGAGTTTCACACGTGATTTAAAAAATGAGCAGGAAGAAAGGGGACAAGAAAGGATCAGGATCAGGGAAGAGGCTTTTAAGCCCGTTTCGAGTTATTCAGGCAAGGGGTAATCAAGCAAAAACTAGAGATTACAACACCCCATTCCGTTTCAGGAAAAAGCCCTCCACCCACAACCACCTAACAACTTGTCAGCTTCGCCTTGTTACATCAATTAGACTCTAAACCGCACCATTGACAATGGAGTGGGTGGGAGTGGGTGACAAGTGGGTGAGAATGGGTGGGCAGGTGGATGGTTTTACAGGGGGTAGTGGGGCATAAAGTGCGCTTGGCTGAGCTTCATCGCCGGCGACACTGCGAATGCAAACAAACAAACGGCAGAACGGAAAATTCGAATCAGAGGATGGTGCTGAGAATACCGACGAGGATGATGATGATGATGGCCAGCCAGCCAGCTGCTGGCATTGTTGAAACTTTCCCGGATCAGCATAGATTGCCGAAATAAAAAAATATTACAAAAATGAATACTTCAGCCGGGAACCGCGTGGAAAATGCACTTCTAATGTGCACCACAAACGCGACCCACACGACGAAGGACCACGGATATCAGAGTGGTTAATTATTTGTTTAACTGCCCAACACGCAAGCCCATTTCGGAATCGTTTAGTCCCGCTCATAGCTTGATGGTTTGTTAATGTAAGATTAATTTCGCTCTAACATCTCTATTGTATTTGAAATGAATAGTATAGTATAATAGCGAATAGTGGTTCGTGGTTGGGTGGGATTGGAATGGGTGGGCTGTGAACAAATTATACTAACCAAGGGATTTCTCTATTATTATACTATGAATGGGTAATCAGCTGATACTCCTGTTCTATTTAGGAACTCTAGTTATTATATTAGATTTTAAGACATAGACAAGACATGACATAATATAGTCATATTTATCCTTAAATATATAAAACATACATGATATTGTGAGAATTCAATTTCCTAAAATGCAAATCCTAATTGATTATAACTTTTCTTCCAATTTCAGTGGCTCGAAGGCGTCGCAAGGAGGGAAGACAACGCCGCCAGAGGACGACTTTCAGTACGGAGCAGACCCTTCGTCTGGAGGTGGAGTTCCACCGGAACGAGTACATCTCCAGGAGCCGCCGGTTCGAGCTGGCCGAGACGCTTCGCCTGACCGAAACGCAAATTAAGATCTGGTTCCAGAATCGAAGGGCCAAGGACAAGCGCATAGAGAAGGCCCAGATCGATCAGCACTATAGGTAGGTCTACATATCCACTGTCATTTCAGTTTAAATCGCAGAAATACCTTGTTGTTAAAATAGTTTTACTTGTTGATGTTTTAAAATAGGGGGTCTAAGAGGTTATAAAGACTAGATTCATAGAATAATGTCATTACCAAAGCATTTTGATTTGTTTAAAACCACTCAAAGGTTAAATATTATAAAATAACTTGAGGACCTTTTGATGAATACTTCGTGAAGAGGATTTTACTTGATATTTATGTTCCATTTTTTGAAACGGAAGTAATTTAAGGAGATGTCACAAGTGTAATTGATGGCCAACATAAAATTAACACGAAATTAATTTTACGACATTTATGCGCACACGGGCCCAATTAGACGATGTCCTTTCGGAGGGGTACTCTATAAATAGAGGGGTTGACCCCTCACCAGGAATTGTGCTCGAAATAATTTCGTTTATTTTGATGTAATCAATTTTTCAGAAACTTTGTCGTGGCCAATGGTTTTATGAGCTCTATAATGGGTCAAGCGACCACGACCATGCCCCCCGGAGGCGTGGCTGGGGGCGTTGGCGTGGGAGTGGGCGTGGGCCTGGGCTACTATGCCGCGGCAGCGACGCCAACAGCGCCGCCCAAGGATAGCACGCAGGATGCTAGTTTCATCGACATCGATGACCAGTACGAACAGCAACAACAACACCGCCGCCGGGAAACAACAACGCTTGTCAATACTTGCTAATACCCACTAATCTAATTGATTACTTTTAATTGAGCTTTAAACTGTTTAGATTAAGTTGGAAATAAATACAAATGTAACAAGAACGTTTTGGTCGAGGGCCTCGACTATCAGGTACCCGGTATGGGTGGAGATATGCGAGCAAAGGTTTGTGGGCGTTACAGTGGGCGTGGCCCTTTACCGAAAAGAGCTGGCGCTATGCAAGAACCGCTAGAACCTGCTAGCTTCATAAAATCTTTTTAGTTTCTCTGATAGTTTTCGAGGTCTCTGCGTTTATAAGGATGGACAGAGGGGCGAACATGGCTAGTTTGACTGGGCTAGTGATCCTAATCAAGAACATATACTCTATAGGGTCGCAAACGCGTCCTTCTACCTGTTACATACTCTTCAACGAACACAATATACCCTTTTACCCTGTGAGTTAAACGTAACGGGCATAAAAACAGAGTGGCCTCCGAGGTGGTCCCGCAAACACTCACCTCACTGATGTTATGTATTTATCATTTTTAGGGCAGAAAAGGACTATATTGTTTATATAAGCGGAAGACAACAACGAACCACGAACCAAAAATATAGCAAAACTAACAAACAATAATGCAGCTCTGGTACAGCTGTTGCTGCTGTTAATATCGATGGAGCTATCGATAGGCATGTTAACGTAACAGCCCGCCTTTTTCAAACATTCAAATGAATGTATCGAAACTATGTATATCATTTTAAACTCAAAGGAAGAAATCATGTATTGTTATTGTTATTTAAAGTGTATGCAAAGGTTACATAAAATGTAAATTACAATAAGATTATTTTTTTGAAAATGTATAGTATCGGAAAATGTCCAAAAAACGCTATCCCCCAGTGATTCCGTCCAGGTAGCTGTCCATGGCTTCCTTGTTCATGTGGATGAACGTTCGTCTTTTTGGAATAGGCTGAATATGAGGTAAACGTGAGCCATTCACAGCGTTGAGACTTAGATTAGAGTTGGGGTCGTCGACATCGGAGAAGGATGAGTCCCCCGAAGAACTCGCTGTGATCAACTGCCTTTTTGCTCGCTTGGCCGCTGCTGCTGCGCTAGTAGTGGGTCCTTCGTCGTCCGAGGAGATCGTAGGACTTGGTTCTTCTTCATCGGAGATCCTCGGAGTGGGTCCCTCCTTCTCCGAGGGCGTGGAGGTGGACTCTTCGTTAGGAGGCCCGAATGTCGCCTCACTCGTCTGACTCGTCTGACTACTAGTCAATGTCGAAATACTCGCTTCCTGCTTCCTCTCCTCAAGATGTCTTTTCGCATTGCTGTTCTTGAAGTTGTATAGCCTTATTAGATCTCTATAGCAGGACAGGCAGAGTGGTTGCGACCGTAGTTCAGAGTTTATATGTTGGCCAAACTTGATCAAGTGCGGATTTTTTATTATTCGGAACGGGGTCCTCAGTCTATGATTTCCCAGACCGCACATCCGGCGTTCCACAGGCGGCGGAGACTCGGACATCTACAGCAAATACAAAAATCATAAAAACGTATATTCTAAGGGTATATAAATTAATATTTTCTTACTGTATTTCTGATTTGCCTTTTTTTGGAAAACAAAGTGCAAATTTGACAGCTATCAGCTATCGATACATTTTTATTTACAGCTACTCAATGTTTCGATATATATTGCTGTTATTAAACATAACAAGCGTAAAAAATTTGGCACTTTGACCACGGTTTTCTTAAAACTTTCGAAAAGGGCCTACGTTTATGTGGGAAACCATAAGCAGCAATATAAACTAAGGGATAAATGGTTAGCTTTTAATTTGAACATTCATGAATACCCCAATTAATCTATCGATTGCCCAAAACACTCGATAGTGCCATCGAACAGTACGGTATATACATCGATGAGTCAGCGATTGCAGTTCACCTCTAGCAGCTGAATAACAATAATCGATTGACTTTGTAAATTCTACCACCTAGCTTTCGTTTTGTTAATTTGGTTAAAACGCGACTGAAAAGATGGCTGGCGTGCTTTGCAAGGTTGAGGATGTTCCGCCCGAGGAAAACAAGGATGTGATTGTGATACCGGATAGGGAGGATGATGTAAGTACCTGGCAGAATGGCCAGCTCACTTGCATGTACATGCATGTGTATCTGTGCACGTGTGTGGGTCGGCGAGTGACGCATTTAGCTGCGTGTTCTCCTGTGTACATACCACCCACTTAACCAACCAGCCCCCTCCCCTTCCCTCCGCCCGGCAGGACATATGTGAGCTGGAGCACCTGCGTAAGCTCTTCATCGGCGGTCTGGCACCCTACACATCCGAGGAGGGTCTGAAGCAGTTCTACGGCCAGTGGGGCAAGGTGGTTGATGTCGTCGTGATGCGCGATGCGGCCACCAAAAGGTCACGCGGCTTTGGCTTCATCACCTACACAAAGTCCATCATGGTGGACAGGGCCCAGGAGAACCGGCCGCACGTCATCGACGGCAAGTGAGTACAGCCCGATCGTGATCATCTTGAATCCCAACTAATCCGATCTGAAACCCCCTTCCAGAACTGTGGAGGCCAAGCGGGCTCTGCCTCGTCCTGAACGCGAAACCCGCGAGACCAACATATCCGTCAAGAAGCTGTTCGTCGGCGGCTTAAAGGACAACCACGATGAGGACTGCCTGCGGGAGTACTTTGTCCAGTTCGGACGCGTTGTCTCCGTTAAATTACTCACTGACAAAACCACGGGCAAGCGACGAGGCTTTGCCTTTATCGAGTTTGACGACTATGATGCCGTCGACAAGGCCATCCGTAAGTATGGAGAGAGTCTCCTATGAAAACAATATGATTTAAAGTGCCGTTATCTATTAACCTTCCTGGATCTTGCAGTTCAAAAGCAGCATTCGATTAAGTACGTGCACGTGGACGTCAAGAAGTCGATCTACAACCTGGAGAAAAAGGACAAACAGCAGCCGGGAGCCATGGCGAACGGCAGCAAGCCGCCGCTCAATCAGCAGCAACAACAACAGCAGATGCAACAGCCTCCACCACCACAGCAGCAGCAGCAGCCGCATAACGGCAACATGCCGGTGCCTGGCTACCGTCCACCTGTGCCACCGCCACAGGTGATGCCTCCCTACCACCAGCAACCGCCACCACCCCCGATGAACGCCCCACCACCAAACTACAATTACTGGGGACCTCCGCCTCCACCTATGCAGTCCTACTACCAACAGCCACCCCCTCCGCAAATGAACGCCTGGGGTCCCTATCCGCCTGTTCAAAATGGCTGGAACGCTCCCCCTCCTCCGCCACCCGGTGCCCAGCAATGGCATCCAGGCCAATGGGGCTGTCCACCACCGGTGCAACAGGTACCTCCGGCTGGGGCAGTGCCCCCGCCCATGGGTCACAATGGACCGCCACCTCCGGCTCCTGGTAACTGGAACATGCCGCCCAATGCACCGCCACCAGTGCCTGGGGCTCCACCTCCGCAGGGTCCGCCGTCCCATCAACAGCCCCCACCCCCGCCAAACTTCGGCAGCGGCTACCAGCAAAACTACGGAGGCGGACCGACAAAGCACAATAGCATGAATGCGAACCGCATGAATCCCTACGCGGCAGCGCCGCCCAACAACTACCGTAGGTAGAGTCCAGCACAAGTAATCTGCGTTGACTAATCACGATCGATTATAGATAATCCCCAACCGCCAGCATATCCCCCATACAATGCTGGTGCCCCGCCGCCCAACGGAAACGTTCAGCCCCCCACTGGCGCCAAGGCGGTGGGCGTGTCCAACGGCTCGGTGGCCACCGGAGGCAGTGCCAACAGCAAGTATCGCCGCTAGAAGGGGTGAGTAGATGGTGCAATCGCAACCCGTCCCCGCCATTAGTCGTTCGTTTTAAATGTGGCCTATGCATAAGAGTTGCCCCAAATACGTCTTGCCACCCATATACTGTGTACTACCTACTACCCGCCACAGATGCACTACGTCTCAAGTACTGAAGTTCATGTATGATTACTAATGTGTAACATTTTCTTTGATTTAGATGCTCAAGAATCAAGATACTGTTAAATAGACTCGTTGATAAGCTAGGCCACACTCGCTTAGAGTTACTAACAGGAAACTTAACGCATTGTCTCTCTATCATAGGACAACTAACTACGGTTTTACTCTACTCTTAAGCTATACCATTGATAACCTACGATCGATCTAAGATATGCCACAGACTATGTATAAATATTTTCTACACCGTATTTCGGAGGAGCGAGCTCTTCTCCCGCTTCGATTTACTTTAGACATATTTTTGTAACCCCCGGGGAATCGTAAAAATGCCCAAATACGATACAGCATGAAGCTCTCTATTCGAATCCAACTATCTATCTCTCTATCTGTAAAACGAAGCGAGCGACCGTGCGACGCACGTCGGTTTGAATCGAAGGTGGAAGGACAATTGCAAGCAATAAATCAATTAATAATTAGATACAAATTACGCAACTGTAGCCTGAGCTTATTGGCCCAAAACGAATAGCTTAATCGTAGATACCTATGTATTACTAAACCATTCAAATAAGATATACGTCCAAAAACAAGAAAAACGCAAAATGCGAATGCATATGAAACCGTAATCGGATCAGAAATCAAATCAAACGCCGAGCTGGCGGGCGTGGCACGGGTGCGTGGCCTTAACTATCGATGTACACAAGAGTTGATATCAAAACTATTGTCAATTTTCATAAGGAGCGAAACGGATACTTATATACTGTAACGATGTTAAAGGTTTCTCTCTCTGGCCTCCCACGATGTTTTTTTTTTTTGCTTTCCACACACATGACAAACTTGAGAAAGTTAAAATATGCTGCAAAAGAATGCTAGGAAACTCTATGTATTTGTTTTCGAGCCATGACACGAACTCTAAGTTAAGTTTATACCTTCAGATTATCTAGATGTACGATTCATTCTCCTCTCTATCCTATTTATAAGCGGTAGCGCACGCCAAAGGCTTTGAATTGATCCATGAATTATGTATTGAAATAAGGGGAGGCTCAGTCCACCATTTGGCAGCTTCATTTAGAGCTCCTCTGCTAAATTTACGAGATACAACACTAATCACTTAACCGAACTATATGAAAACACATATTTATTTTAAATAAATAAAGTATAAAAACAACACTATGTATTTGTTTTAGCTGCCCTGCCGATATGTAAGTCTCTCCTTCTCCTTGGGCGCAGTCTAAGTAGCGATAAACTAAATTATTTACCTCAAGATTTAGTTAACTTTATGCAATTCTAGGTACGAACACTTTCGATCTAATTTTAAACATATCTCTACTCGTAGGCCGTAAAACGCTTGAGTCAAGCTTTATTCATAAGGTAAGTTAGTGACGGAGATCCCGGTGTATTTCGGTTCTCATCATAGGATACACTAGAGTTTCTATAAGTGCGCTTAAGTTCCTGCTTTATATGTAGCATGTCACCAAACACATTTATTTAGCTTTTCTAAAGCAAACACCATATTTCTTTTCCAAAATATCTGAGCTCCGCTGAAGAGACCCAGGTTAGAAGACCCGAATCGACTGTGAACTGAGGGTAAGGTAAGTGAAAGGACCATTTTCATTTTATTTTTATTTGTTTGATACTAAAAATAAAAACAAAGCTACTGAAATCGAAAAACTGTGTTTTTATTCCGAACCAACAAGTTAAGAGCCCCAAAACATGGGTAACGCTGCAGTTAATAAATCGTTATAGCTATAGGGACTGAGAATTGGGGTTAAATTGAGTCTATATAAATAGCATAAATACATCCCTAAAACTTTCGTATAAAAACAAAATAAAATGCTCAATTTAGTTGCATTAGCGAATAAACTATTTGATTCTCTCAAAGAAAATAGAAATGAAAAATTCGGAGTTTTTAGTCAATACCTGGACCATCTTCTACCACCTATTTCATTTCATTTCAATAACTCTGACAACAATGAGTTGGCATTGTTCTCAAACCGTTTGGCACAGATCCATAAATCAACCTCATTTTAAAAGGAGTTTCAGATTCTGCATCTGCGCGATATGTTCGCGTTGACCTTTTGAACCCTGCCAGCAAGATGTTTGCGGCTTCTTCAATTGTTTTCAATGAGAAAAATACCGGCGAGTTCATATTGCCCGCCAAGATGTAAAAACCACCCTATAAGGGTGACTTACAAGACGGCCGAATGTTACATTTCCGGTGGGGGTACAGTAACGTAACGTTTTTTCCCAAAGTAAATTTGATTTTCCCTCTTAAAGGTATATATTTTATTTATAAAAACGACTTTTGGGCATGATTTATAAAACTATAAATATGAAATTTAAATTTGTAAGCTACTAGCTTGCTACGTTTTTTAAAATATACCGTACGTCCTTTTTATTTTCAATTGGATTTTGTTAAGGGAGAATTTTGAGATACTTTGTTGATAATGAAAAAAAATCTATAAAATAAAGTTATATAACTTTGACCACTGCAGTTGGGATGGCTAGCAAGAAGAGCTTCCTTTTGCTGTTGCTCGGCTCCAAGTTCAGGTCAGGAGAGGTACCTAGTGGGTTGCCCTACATTAAAGGGTGTTAAATGTGTGTATCAAACGTGAAACCACAGTGCACAAGAAGCCTTGCTCAGCTTTTCGAATTTTACCGCGGTAGCGACTCAATCGTTCATAACCGTCTTTAGCGTTGTATGCTTGAGAAAAAAAATTATTTTAAATTTGGTGTCCAAAGCTGCGAACTAAATTGTTTGCGAATCAATATTGATTTTTAATTTAGTATCGCGCTTCGTTCGCTGAGGTGATAGCAAACAGGCCCCCTTTTTTTGTGTGCTGGCATGAGTCGCTCAGCTTGGTATTTGAAAAGAACTCTCACAAATAATTTAATCTTTACAAATTTTAATTTCTCTATTAAGAGTGATTTTCTTTGGGCATTTATATTTTTTTTATTGGGTTTACAAATATAGTTCGTTCGTTCGAGATAAATGCGATAATTAAAAACTCAATTTCTTCGCGATTCTGGAATTAGACTGTACTATTCACATTAAAAATCGTGTTTTTACAACTGGAATAAATTACCATCTAGTTTAAATACTTTACATTCATTGCCACAATCGTAAACATCTCGTCAGTTTGGAAATAACAGGATTGGCGTTTTTATTATAATTTTTATTAAATTTATTCGTGTAATTACTTTGCTCTAAATTAAGTTTTGTTTTTGTTTCATACTCAACCTCGCCAACAATGCGTGCGGGTAAATACGTTTTGTGTGTGTTTTTTGTATGTTGTATGCTTGTGAGTGTTGGGAGATGCTAGAATTACATATTATGTATTACGTTGTATATAAGAAGTATGTGCTGGCGCACAGAAATGATTACAACTCGTCGGATTGTTAGCTTGTCTCTGCTGAAATCTGAATTAAACATTGGTGTCGCATGTTCCGAAGGCGTGCAAATGCTGGCTGGCCTAGTAGGCCTGCGACAGGATGACGTTGCCCTTCCGCTGCGGATCCTGCACCGTGTCCTCCTTCTTTCCGATCAGCGACTTGTGTATGTGCGGAATGACACCGCCGCCGGCAATGGTTGCCTTGATCAGGCTGTCCAGCTCCTCGTCTCCTCGAATGGCGAGCTGTAAGTGGCGCGGCGTGATACGTTTCACTTTCAGATCCTTCGAGGCATTGCCTGCCAACTCAAGAACCTGAAATGGGCACAGAATATCACAAAAATGAGTTAATGAAATGTTATAGAGATACGGCTACATCTGTTGTTCGTTTTAAAATTATGAGTATTTAACATATTCCTAATTTGATAATCTAAAACTAACATAATAAAATAGTAATCAAACAAATCCGTATGTATTCATCACTCCTCAGAAAGCAACAGCCTTAAACTCTGTATAACTCAAATTGGGCAGTAAATACATTTCATTTAAGATTTTATAATGGCGGAAAAAGTATAAGCATCAATATTTTGAAAAGTTTTTACAAACTGATTATTAGAACACGAACTACATAATTAAGCTTCAATAAAATCAACACAAATATTCAAATTGGGCTTCTCTAAAATATTTCCTAAGAAAGTGGTGAATTTGCATCATTATTCTTCCTCTAAAAATGGCAATACGAACACCAAATATCCCGTTGTAACATTTGTAGCATTTGAGAAATGAGATAAAACTTTATAAATTAAAACAAACAATAAGGAACTTCTTATTAAGGAAATTGAAAACAAAATAACTGTACACAAAGGTTCTATGACTATTTCCTATAATTCCCCTCAAAGTGACAATAAGAAACGGAAATTTTCCATTGGAGCGGGAAAAGTACCGCTACAACTCTCCAATTCGGAAAAGCGGGAAGTCTGAGGGCGCACTCACCTCGGCGGTCAGGTATTCCAATATGGCAGCGGAGTAGACGGCTGCGGTTGCTCCGACGCGTCCGTGGGATGTGGTGCGGCTCTTGAGATGACGATGGATGCGGCCCACGGGGAACTGTGTGTGTGAGTGTGCAGAAAGCAGATTAATTAGCGGGTTGTTTATGTTTTTATCCCCTTCCAACCCATTCCCCCTCCCTCCACCAGCAGAGAACAGTCACCCTGTTTATAAATACGTGGTGGAATATGCTCGTTGGCGAGGTGAGTACCGAAAAGGCGCCAAAACGGAGGTACAGACGACCCATTGGAAACTCACCTGGAGACCCGCGCGCGCTGATCGCGATACCGCCTTCGCCTTGGCCTTTCCTGAATCCTTGCCTGCTTTGCCGCCAGCCTGCGAAAAGAACACAAAGCCATCTTTTAGCACGATAGAAGCAAAGAAACACAAGCTGTGGGAAACACAAAATGGTGGCACCGCTGCAATTTGTGAGGTTACGGCCGATCGCCCCCAGCAGCACAATAACAAATCCCGCCGTTTTTTTTTGGCAGTTATCTTTTCGGGGGCTTCTTGGGGATACGTGCTGGCGCTGGTGTCCAAAATGCATCGCCACCATTGCGGCATCAATATTTAATTCGCGGGGGCACGCGCATTGCGAAAAGCGAGCTGCGCTGCCGCTCAAAATTAGACGAGCCGAAAATTACCATTTCAGTTTAATCGATTTTTTGCTGCTGCCTGTGCTAACTGCGCTTGCGAAATGCTCTGGGCACTGCGATTGCTTCTGCCGCGATGGGAATGATTGTTTGATTGCAACACGGAACCGGAGCGTGCGGATGTTTCTGCGGAATTGTTCTTCGACACTTGAAATTTTTTCGTGAAAAAAGACGCCGTCAGCGTAGTGTGACCGCGCACTGGATACTCTAATTTTGGACACCTTTTTCAAATGGCGCCAGCTTGCAGGGTTGCCAGGTGTCCTAATCCATCGGTAAAACTAGCGGAATATATATTTAAAATTTGTAAGATTAATTTAATAAACTGAAATGAAATGTATTTATATATTTATTTTTTAGCTATTTTTAGAATTTGCAATGTTGCCAAAGTCTGATTAAATTTGTACTATTTTGTGTAGAGTTTTAAATGTAATAATATATTTTAGAATAAATTATAGCATAAGTACAGGCTGCAATGACACTTTTTCCTTACCTTTGACCTTAGTTTCACAAAACTATAATTTTTTTTAGAGTAGGACCACTCTATTATCCCTGCTGTCAGCTGACAACCCTGCAGGACGCTTCTCATCGCGCCGAGTGGCAACCCTGGCGCCCGGCATCGAGCGGAATTTGCGAATTTTGTACTTAGCCACGATTTAACCACGCTCCAGCCCAGAAAATGCCGCGTGTAGCCAAGCCGAAAGCCGCTGCGCCGGCCAAAAAGGCGGTGCCGGCCAAGAAGGCTAAGAGCAAGTTGTACGCGATGCCGGAGAAGGTGAAGGAGGGCACGATCTTCAACGATTTGGCCAAGGGCCAGTGGCGCATTGGACCCTCGATTGGAGTGGGTGGATTCGGCGAGATCTACGCCGCCTGCAAGGTCGGCCAGAAGGACTACGATGCGGTGGTTAAATGCGTAAGAGGCCGTCCCATTTTTCCTCCCTGGAGATTCCGTAAACCCATATATATTTTCAGGAGCCCCATGGCAATGGCCCGCTCTTTGTGGAGATGCACTTCTACCTGCGCAACGCCAAGCAGGACGACATAAAAAAGTTTAAGCAGAAGCACGGCATGAAATCCCTGGGCATGCCCTATATCCTGGCCAACGGCTCCGTGGAGGTCAATGGCGAAAAGCATCGGTTCATAGTCATGCCGCGCTATGGCAGCGATATCTCCAAGTTTCTGGAGCAGAACGGCAAGCGACTGCCCGAGGGCACCGTCTACCGGCTGGCCATCCAGATGCTGGACGTCTATCAGTACATGCACGGCACTGGCTACATTCATGCCGATCTCAAGGCGGCCAACATCCTGCTGGGCCTGGGAAAAGGGGGCGCAGCGCAGGCTTATCTGGTGGATTTCGGCCTGGCCTCGCACTACGTCACAGGGGAGTTCAAGCCGGATCCCAAGAAAATGCATAATGGCACCATTGAGTACACATCCAGGGATGCCCACTTGGGTGTGGCCACCAGACGATCTGATCTGGAGATTCTTGGCTACAATCTTATTGAGTGGCTAGGCGTGGAGCTGCCCTGGGTCACACAGAAGCTACTTACGGTGCCCCTCAAAGTTCAAAAGGCCAAGGAAGCCTTTATGGACAACGTAGGAGAGAGCCTAAAGACGCTGTTCCCCAATGGAGTGCCCGCTGCTATTGGGGATTTTATGAAATACGTCTCGAAGTTAACGCACATCCAGGAGCCGGATTACGACAAGTGTCGCAGTATGTTCTCCAGTGCCCTCAAACAGTTGAAAATTCCAAACATCGGGGATCTGGACTTCAAGCTGAAGCCACAGACCAGCAGCAACAATAACCACAGTCCACCGGGGACAAGCAAGGCAGCTGCAGCCAAAAGGGGGATGAAGATTGAGACTCCTGCAGAGAACTCATCCCTAGAGGAGGAAATCTCCGCCAGCGAAGAAGAGGAGGAGGAAGAGAAGGCTCTCCGCAAGAAGGCAGCTAAAAAGGTTTCACCGGCAGCTAAAAAGGCTTCACCAGCACCAAAAAACGTAAGAGTTTCGCCCCTGAAACGAGCTGCTCCTGCCGCGGGCGCCGAAAGTACCCCACCCAGCCAGAAGCGCGTCAAGACTGAGCCCAAGTCCACTCCCAGACCAAGAGACACACCCAAGGCCAGCCCCAGGCTAAGGGGAACGCCGAAGGCCAGTCCCAAGCCACAAACGCCAACTGCAGCGAGGCTTAAGACTCCCAGTGCCAGTGCCAAGATTAATTTCAGTCCATCTATTTCCCTGCGAGGTCGCCCCGGTGGCAAAACAGTGGTTAACGACGATCTGACTCCACAGCCGCGCTCCAACAAGACCTACGAGTTCAACTTCGAGCTGGACGTGAGCATGGACGCCAACGTGATTGTAAATGTCAAGCGCAAGAAGAAGGCGGAAAAGGAAAAGACGGTAACGGTTGAGTCAAGGACGCCCTCATCGCGCAGCCTGGCCTCCAGTTTGAAGGAGGAGGGTGGCTCCCCCGTGACCCGGGTGAATCTGCGCAAGGTAAACGGCCATGGGGACGAGGGCGATTCCTCTTCCTCTGGTCGCAGTCCGCGCACACCGGCCGTCACCGTGCGAAAGTACCAGCGATAGGTCGGCAGCATTTGTTTATTATATTTTTACATTACTAACTCATTGAATAAAACGCTCATTATTATTTTTCATCGTTTTATTACATATTGAGTTTTATTCAGTAGCTATGCTAGTACTTAATTTAGCTGTTTATACATCTACGCATTTTCGTTCCGATTTTTGCAGCATTTGCAGTGTAAAATGTATAAAATAAATGCAAATGTTTAATAAAATATCCATATTTAATGTTATCTTTCTCTCACTTTGGCTTACACTTTCTACTTAATCATATGGAGTGGAGCTCCCAATTACTGCTTTGATCTGCGCTTGCTGCTGCCGCTTTCGTGGTGCTTGGTGGAACTGCTCTTGGAGCTGGACTTCGAGCTGCTGCGCCGTGAGGAGGAGGTGCCGCTGCCACTGCTGCTGTGCTTCTCCAGGCTGCCGATGGCACTAAGTGAAGGCGCCGCCGAGGTCTTGGACGTTCGCTCCTCCTTGTGCGACTTGGACGAGGACGAAGAGGAAGACTTGTGGCCGTGCTTGCTGCTGCTACTGCTGCTGGCATTGGTGGAGCTGCTGGGCTCCGGCCTGTAGAAGGGCGACGAGGAGTTGGACGAGTTGGAGGAGCGCGACGAGGCCGCCGAGGACTTGGCCTTGCTGGTCAGCGGCATGGGCTCGTCCGCAATGAAAACGGTGGGCGTCACTGGCGCCGCTGAGGATGTGGCCCTGCCACTGCTGGTCGTCGGCTTGTTGCTGCACGTGTCGCACTGCCAGTTCTGCTCCTGGTCCTCGGCCGCCTCCTCCTTGGTAATAGGAGGCTTGTGGCACTCCTGGTGGTACATGGCCCCGCACTTGGAGCACTCGATCAGCCGGTTGGTGGCCCTGATGACCATTTCACCGCACACACAGCAATTGAGGTCGCCAAAGTCGCCGGTGTCTCCGGTATTAACTATTCCCACGGCACTCAGACCATCATCCGAGTCCGCAATGGTGTCCACCGAATCGGAGGGCTCCTTGTCCGGCGAGTTAGTCAAATTGATGATCTCGTCCGCGTTCAAGGGCTGCTGGGGTGGCGTGGCCGCCCGGCCCGGGAAGTTGGCCTCATCCTCCAGCATTCGCGGGCTCATGTTGTTGGTCAAACTCTTTTCGGGGCCAAAACGTGATTTCAATGCCTCGTCGAAAAGCAGACGCAGTTCGGCCGCCGAGGTGGGATTGCTGGAGTGCAGCAACTTGATGGCCTTCTTCAGCACGGGGTCGACTTCTTGTGCAGCTGCCGCTGCGGCGGCTATGTTGGCGGCCATCTCGAAATTGGTTAAATATAGTAAATAGCTAAGTAAAATAAATGCAGTTTTGTGCAAGCGCAACAGCTGTTTGCTGGAGCAGTGTGTCCACATCGCCGGCTTAAGTGGCTGCCATTCACCTGTCAACGTGGCTTAAGATAAGGCGGGAAAAGTTCAAATTCAAATTTATTAATTCGTGACTTATGTGATAATTTAATGGTTTTTCTAGGGATTTAAAATGTGTGTTGTATTTAATTAGTAAAATATGAACCAGTGAGATACATACAAAGCAGAATGAATTGTTTTTAAAGTTAACTAATAAACCAAAAGCGCAACAGCTGCTTGACCAGTGTTACCACACCACAACGTGCTCTTCTTCTAGCCAGCCGCTGCCATTCGCTTGTAAACGTGAAATAACAGTCCCGATTGGTAGTGTTTTCGCCAGGTAATTAGCCGCAAAATAAAAATAAAAGGTATATTTAGTGTAATCATAGACGACTGTTACTATTGCACATTGTTTACCCTCGGCATAATTCGGTTCGTGCAACTGCGTCGTTTTTGACTGTTTATTTGTTGTGCTGCGCGAGAAGAAGAAGCCTACCTGCGAAGTGCCGTTGAAAAATCGAAGCAGAGAGCCAATTGGCACAGCAATAACAACTTGGCTCGCTCTCTCAAAATAAACAGTTAACTTGTGATAAGGGAATCAAATTGCTTTGTGTGCGCTAAAAAATGTGATAATCTTCGAGGAGCATTAGTAATAATCAGTTATAAACAAACAGCGGACGCTTGTCGGTAATTTTGACTCATTTTGTGTAAACTTTTCAGAGCCTGCAGGTGACCACAAAATGCGTTGCAGTTTGCAAAAGGACTGCGCAGCTCCCACGCAGGAAAAATTTCACCAGGTGGGTGGAATTTTCCAGCTTGTGAAATTAATTATAAACCAGACATTTTACGGATTTTATTTTCCCGCAGATGCGTTACCAATTCTGGATTTCCATAATTTTACTGCTTTTCTGCTGCGGTGAGAGTTTCGCCGCTGACGCAGTTGATCAGCTGGTAAGTGGGCGGTGCGTGGGCGGTTTTTGTGGGTGGTAAATGGGTTGCCATTGAGCGGTGGGCGAAACTTTCAAGGTTGTTTGCTTCCACTGCGCACTTGTTGCCATTTGGCCCAGACCCCGTTTTCGGCCTTCCAGTTGCATGTCTTCCACTCGCTTATCACTTTCCAGTCTTTGTTGCCTGACATTTCAAACGGCTAAGAAGTCAATCAGTCCCATAAAAGTGCGATAACGGAAAAAACAATTGTTAAATAAAGAAATCATTTCTCCAGACTTTCTTTGTTTACTTCAAATAGAAATACACACATTTGTGAGTGCTTCATACAGTTAAACTGCAATTAGTGTCTTAAAAAATGCGCAAAAGCGTAGAATTCCATGAAGAGTATAATACAAGTCATTTTTATGAGTTAGTATACATACAAATATTGAATAAGTTAACACTTGTACTTAATTAAAAAATGTGAAGATACTAGTAAAATAAAATAAAACATCATACAAATTCAGAATAATAATCCATATGGACTTTTTTAAACAAATACACTTGTTAGTACTTTAAGAAAATGGTTTCCTATATATTTTGAATTTTTAAAAATGTTTATCTCGTCAATATTATACAACGTTAATGTTATAATTATTTCAATATTTTAAAAATTTTTATCAGAACCTTAACTTACATATATCATTCCAATATTTGCAATATTTTCAAATCCTTCAAAATAAAAGAAAAATAAAAGACCCTTAAGCTTATAATTTACGTCCATATTTCTCCCTGCAGAAATTTTCCACGCAGGAATGCAAGATCAAGGAGCCCATCTATGGCAGCACCTTCGACTTCAGTGGCCTTCACTCGGACTTGGCTCACGTGGTGGAAAGCGTGAGCAATGGCGGCGACAAATTCGAGTTCAATATCTGCGGTAATCTCTCAAGAACCTGCAACGGCGAAAGTAATGTTGCAGCCTGCCTTAAGAAACAGGGAAAGGAGTACATCATAGGTGGGCTGAAAACACAGTGAAACCCTTAAATATCTCACTCTAAAATACAATTTTCTCATAGGTCGCCAACACGAGTTGTTCTACAACAATGGCAAAATGTATCTGGAGTATAAGGGCGGAGCAAAGTGTGATAATGGCACTGCCAGCAATCCCAACTACCAGCTCCATGTGAAGCTCAGCTGCGACTATACTCTGGATGCCCAGCCCATGCACATAACGCCTTATGTAAGGATTGAAATACTCTGTCATTAGAACTCCTTAATGGGTTTGTTATATAATATCTCTATTAACTCCTTCTAGGCCAACGATGCCTGTTCTTTTTACATCTCCTACGAGACCCCACTGGCCTGCCTCTCCATTCCCGATGCCCTGCAGTCCAACAGTTGCAGTGTGCGGGACACCAAATCGAATGGAACCTTCGATCTGATGCCCCTGAGTGATAGTAACTACCGAACAAGCAATCGCCAGGATGCCTTCTTTTTGATCAACGTGTGTAAACCGGTGCTCTACGGGGAGAACAGCATGTGTCCCCCTGGCAGCAGCATTTGTCTGTATAATCCCAAGGCCAGCAACTCAAAAGAACGGTGGGTATTCATTTAACTAGTATAATCTGAATTATATTAGTCAAATGGATTCCCATAGATTTATCAACTTCGGCAATGTGCAATCGCGCCCAGTGGTGGAGAAGGGGCAGCTGCTGCTCCGGCATGAGTCACCAACGCCCTGTGCCAAGAACTCCAGCGCCAACTACACAAGCGTGATATACTTCAGCTGTGACAAGTTCATAAGGGTGAGTAATTTGGGCTTATGAGTTTGGTGGGATGCCAAGCACGAACTGGTTCAGTCATCACTAATCCCTTTACTTCCTTTTCAGAATGCCCATCCCGAGTTCGCGGGTCTGGGCGCCGATTCCTGCACCTACCAGTTCAACTTTGTGACGCCCTTGGCCTGTAATGATCTCGAACCCTGCACGGCCTTCACCGCCACAAATGAGCTGTGAGTGGGTCCACATCATTTATACTGTATGCTGTAATGATTCCCTTTGAACTCCCTGCTCTGATCCTTATCCACAGGTTGGATCTCAGTTCGCTTAGCAAGAAGCCCGCCAGCACTTTGGTTAAGGATGGCCGGAACTATACAATTGCAGTGTGCGCCCATGCTGGGACGCCCTGCCAGGAGAATGGCGGTAAGTCCATATTAATATAGATTTTAAGTGCTGATGCAAAACTTACTGGCCATAAAAGAGTCGTAATTAAAACGGGGCTTCACGCGCAAAAGTTTAGGGAAGCCCCGTGACCACCGGCTGAAGCTTTAAAACCCTTGCGTCTCGAGGACTCTTGTTGTGCCGGGATTAATGATTTTTTATTGCTCTTCCGCTCGAGTGGCCCTCATGGCCCTCATGGCCATAATCGTCTTGGTAACCGGAGAGGAATGCTGGAAAAAATGGGTAGGGCCCGGTCAAGTGTTGACCATTTCATCCGGTTTCCATTAAAGTGCACACGAGTGGCTATTTGTAGGTCCCTACATATGTCCATGTATGCAAACTCGCCCACACTTGTGTGTTGGCAGTTGTAAAGGCCGGGGCACGATGATAATGATTTAGATCTGTGATGTGGTCCGTCATATATTTACATAATTTACGAGTCCGCCTGTGCGTTGGTCAGACCATTAGCCCACCCCATCCTCTTGTTCGGTCATCCTTTGGCTCCACGTGAAAATTCAATTTACATTTTTTGACGTCAATGACAAGGTAAAAGTTTGCGATGACCTTGTAATGCTCTTCTATTTTTCCATGTAATTTTTGGATTAGTACTTGAAAAAAATATTTAAAATAACTGGTTTAGAATTCTATTATTAAAGGTACATATATCAATTTAGAACAGAGAATTTACCCGACGGATTATTTAGAAGATAGAATAACATTTATAGATCTTTTTTCTCAAAATAATTTAAATATTTTAAAATCTTTTATAAGGTCTGTTTCAGTCTGAGATCCTTGATTATCTTAGTATTCATTATTTATATAATATATTATCCTCCTAAACTTTCCCGATCTATGTACTTATCTTTTGGTAGGGTATTAACATGCTCTATTTTCCTCGATGATATCAATTTATTCACAATCCTTTTTAACATACATCACTTAGCATTTCAATTTATTTATAACTTAATATGGGTGTTTAAATTTGTCGAGTCCATATATTTGCTCTTTTTATTTATTAAGGTACAGATATAGTTTATATATTTATTCAGCGAAGTGTTTAAAGCTCAGCATATGGGTTGTCCCGCCGCCTGTGCAGTGCATAATCTTATGCTATATAGCATATAATGCCAACATATCCGCAGCTTTGATATTTTTCTATTTATTTGCCTTGTATGCGCTGCATCAACATGGGGGACGGTTCGCCATGGCAAATAACAACTTTTCTGATGCGGGCTGTTGGCAAGTGAAACGTGTCTCGTATTTGGTAGCTGGTAAATGGTATCTGCTAACTGGTATCCATGGAGCAGCAGCTCACGCAGCGCGGGGATGTGTATCTGGGTGTTCGCTCTGGGTGTCCTGGGTGTCCTGCATTCGTAGTTGACTGCAGACGCATATCCGTTGGCGCGTCCTTTTCGGTTGGCTGGCTCCCTCGCTCGCGAACAAAACGCGGCCCACACAGAGAGATGTGCTATATGGATGGCAGGGCATGGGGAGATATCATGGCCCACTGCCGGGCCTAAACAAATAAATAAGTGTGTGCTCCCCTTTGCCAAACTGATGTCCAGGCCATGAGGCAGAGACCTACATGAAATTTTCATTTGTTAGGCAAATAGCAGACACAGCACACACATGCGCGAAAGTGGGGCGCAGGACACGCTAGCGCTTTTGTAAACAAGCTGGCGCTTATTTGCACTGAGAGAAAAGCATCTATCTGATTTTCATTAGGGAGCGTTTGATATTATAGTTTCTTACCGATTTTTAAAAAAGTTTTTTGGCTGGGTCAAAATTTAGTTTGATTGCAAAAACAATACAGTCTTCATTAATTATGGACATATGTATGTTTCTCATAATCAAAGGTAGTTGATATAAAGGTTATATCAGCATTTTTTCATGAAAGGAAAATATATTTGAAACTAATCGTAAAAAAATACTTTTTTAGGACTTGAGAGACCTAAGGAATTTAGAAATTTCTTTTTAAAATGATTTAGTTATGATATACATACATACATGAATTAGACTTCAATAATTACAAAAAAGTGTTGAAAAGCAAATTCTTTTTCGGAAATGGATGTATTTAGCATAGATGTAGTATTGTTTTTCTCAGTGCACACACACTGCGTTGCAAGTTCGCTGTTTGGCGCCCAGCTGACACTGGCAGACGGCACATGCCGCCACCCCACATCCACCCCCTCCCCCGACTGCATCTCCATCTCATCCCCCGGATGGGGCATTAAAATCTCCTGGTTTGCATAGCTGAATTCAATATTTGAAGGCATTTGGCAGGGGCATTTGGCCCTGGCCCATTCAGCCTGCAAGTGAGTTATGACCACGCCCCCATGCGCCACCAAATCCCCCCGAAAACCCCCCTTACATATATAAAATCCCGCCCCCCAACTGCTGCTGTTAATTGCTTATGCAGCATGCGTTTCCCTGTCATTTTGTGTAATTTTCATTTGCGTTTGCGTTCTGCATTTTATATATATTTATGGTGGGCCCGGCAAATTGCATTTTTGAGGACAGCTGCGGGGGATTTTTTGGTCATACGTATTGCACCATATGATATGATCAGGCGCAGGCTTCATTTAATTGCACCTTGTCAAAATAATTGCCAAAGCGAATTTAGTTCGGTTTGCTGTTTATGAAGAGCCTTATTCCAGGCTTAATAGAGTGGGTTTTATACAGTTTATTTCTGGTATGGAATTATAAGAGTATTGTTTAAAATTATATCAAAACTTAAAGTTTTTTTTCAAGTGATGTATTTTAATCTTACTTTCTATTTCAGATTGGTTTTCTTTTCTGTTGTTACTGGGTTAATAAAACTTGCGTTAGCTTGCATAAGATAAGCTTGCCATATTTCGTAGAAATCTGGAGAGTATCAAATTCCAATGGCACAGCACTTTTGTGCTTGTTGTTTTTCCTGAGCTGCTGCTGCTTTGTTTATAATTTCAATTTGCTGTTTTTATTGTTTTCGTATTTTACTCCTTTTTATGTTGGGGGCTTCCAGCTGCCCAGTTTTCCTTGGTTATTTGTGTTGGCGCTGCTGTTTCTACTGCTGTTGCTGGTGGGCAGATTCAATTTGGCCCGGAGTGGACAAAAACCGAACCCACCATGCCAACACACCATCCCACCTCCTCCAGCCGTAACTAACACTTGCCGGCAGCTGTTTGGCCTGGATGCGCCATCCAAAGTGGCATCAGGCAGCTACTAAATCGTTTTATATTTGTTTTTCCCGCTTCTGCCGGGTTTTTGCTGGCCCTCCAGCTGCTGGTCAATGTTTTTAGGGTTTACTTGGGCCCTTTTGCCTTTGCCCTTGCCTGTGTTTTCTGATGTTTTCTTATTGAAATTCAATTTGGCCCCCGGTTTTCTTAACCATTTGTTGTGCAGGGCTGCCCACGCTTTTTCAGGCCCGGAAATATTTTGCGGCATACCGTTGTTGCCACTCGCCTTATCAATGCCACAAAGTCAGCTCCTTATATTTAACCCTTCTCAGAAATGGGCGGAATTTGAACAATGTTTTGTTTCATGACCGCAATGCGAGCCCCAAGGCTGCTTTGAACCGAGATTGCATTGGGATTCAATTTACGGGGTGGCATTCGGTGTTTTGTGACCAGGTCAATCTCGTTGGATAATCTTGACAAGGAAATGATTTTCACCCAAGGTGTATGTACAAGAATACCGGATGAATAACACAGCTGCGGTCGAAATAATAGCTCACAGGGGTCTATAAAAATATACCATGTCTTAAGAACCTGCTCTTTAAGTTGTTGAATTAGTCGGAGGGGGAAACCAATGATAGTGGTTGATTACATTTTAAAATGTAACATATCAAATCAAAACACTGTTATTAAATTGTAATGTTCTTAAAGGAGTCTATAAATACGAACCAAATTGAAACTGATGATAATGGTTAACTACATCTTCAAACATATGATATGATATCATTTCCCTTAGCAAAACACTGTTATTAAAATCTAAAGATATTAAATTTAATAGTGTAATTTAAGTAGAATTCGCTAGGTTTCAAGTGGAAAGCTTTATACATATGGAATATGAGCTTTTTTCTGCAATAATAACATTTATATAATTTAAATTATAATCATCTTTAATTTTTACTTATTACTTTGGCTATTTTACTCTGAGCTTAGCTGTAGAAACACATCCTTAGAGGACGTCTTCTGTTCTTTCGAGTTTGCGGTCTCCTAAATTCAATTGCATGCTTCCACAGGACATCAGAAAGTCCTGTTTCTGGCCATACATGCTTACACTTGGCCATACAGACGTACATAGATGGTCACGCAGACCCACAATGTCATTTATCAATTTAGTTGACAGTCGATTTCTTTTTCGATTTGCCAAAAGCCACCTCAATTGGTCTTTTTGCTCATCGTTTTTTGTTATTTCCTCGTTGTTGGATTGTTGGTCATGGCTCTTGATCCTGCATGTGTGTGGGGTTGTGTGTGTCTGGATATTTGTCCGATGTCTGCAATAAAGTATAAAAATGTGTGGAAGGAGCAGGAGTGCCGGGCGGTCGGTTGGGGGCTCTGAAATTACCATACTCTAGTCTAATCACAATCACAATGCTGTCTGCTCTAGGGCGCTCAATCAAAATCCGGCAAATGTGAGTGACATTGCTCAAAATTGTTGGGTTGCAAGTGAAATGGAAGATTGAAAAAGGGAAGGGCCAAAAACGACAACTGCAGGGCAAGGAGCAGATACTCTGTTTATTTCCATAAAATTGAGTTGTCAGGACGCTCTTAGCTCTCCAAACAACTTAATGTTATTTTTGGGCAATTAAATCTTAAATTCGGTAAAGGACATCTTTTTGAATCGATTTAAATTTGCTGCCATTTATGCATGGGGGCCCGTGTCCATTCTGTTTTGATGCCACTCTGGAACAGTGGTTATTCCTGGCAGGAGGCGGTACTAAAAGCATTCCGATTGCTTGAACATTGGGCTTGGGCCCTGGGCGAAAAAAAATCCGCCTTGCAAGTTGACAAACAACGAGAACAATTAATTTCGCCTTTGATGTTCAGTCACTTCTGCTGCCGCTTCGTGTTATCCCTATTCCTGTTCTCGGCGAGTAACGCTTCATTTGCAGGACGTGAAAGTCCTGGGCTCAAAAGTGCACTGTGAAAAAAGGAGTGTAGGATACAAAAGTATCTTAAGATAAAAAAGGTATCATTTTAAGCTTTAAAATTTTGTTTTAGCTATAGTTTCAACATTATAATCTTTTAAAAATAATGATTTTGTCTAATGATTATATATTTTAGAACATAAAAATAGGCAAAACCAGGTTTTCGGTAATATTTCTTTTCTGAAAACGCGAATTCTTTAGACAAGGGCTTTTTCACTGAAAACAAAAATGTAATTTTTTATAATCATAGCAAGAATTATTAAAACAAGGACTTAAAAAGGCCTACAAAATTGGCTGAGTGTTGTCAGAGAATGGCTAAGGTTTTTCCGGCCAGGATTTGCCGACCATGTTCGTGTTTTGTTTGCTTTGAGATGGTTCCTGTTTTTCTTTCTGACTTTTTGGCACTTGGCGCCCGTCCGTGGCCATGGAGCACTCAATTGATCCTGCCCGCTTCCCGTTCACTTGCAGGCGCCTGTTACGAGCAGAATTCCACGACCATCAGCCTGGGCAACTCCAACTCGCAGCTGCGATTCAATCAGACCGGCTCCCTGTATTTGCTGTACGAGGATGGTGCCGAGTGCTCCACAGATTCAGGCATCAGGCGCTGGTCAACGAAAATCGAGTTTGTCTGCGCGAACAATGCCACCAAGGACAATGGGGCCAACAGTGCTGGTACTGCCGGTGGTGGCGATTCTTTCAAAATAATCGAGGACTCCAATTGTCAGCTGTTGATCCAATATCAGACGCCGCTTGCCTGCCGGGAGCCGATTAAATGCAAGGCCAGCGTCTATGTGGACCACACCACAGATGGACTGGGCAGCAGTGGCGACGAGCTGATCGACCTAACGCCATTGATTAGCGCCAGCGACAACTATGAGGCCAAAGTGGAGCTGCCGGCCAGCCTGGAGTACCTGGTGCCCAAGACGACCAAGGTGAGCCCTTGTATTCCCTGATTTCCCCACAGGCAAAGGACCCAAACCCAAACCCCAATGCCATACCAAACCAGGCCGTAATTTGCTGGCTTTTGTCTTTGCCACTCAACTCAACCCGGACTCGGTTCGGTTCTCGTTTCGCCCTCTTATTTCTTCGCAGTTCTTTTTGAATGTGTGCCGTCCATTAGTGCCCAAATACCAATTAGGCTGTGCCGGCGGATCTGCTGCCTGCATGGCCAAAGTGACGGCCACCGGCGCCCCCGAGGAGGAGCGTGTAAGTACCACCCGAAAATCCATATCCATGCATACATTTACAGCTGGGGGCAAGATGTTAGGAGCGCGATTAAATTGTGGGACCCTATATAGGTCCTGTTTTAAATATTAACTATAAACTTTTACATGAAATAGTATAGATATTATGTGTGCTAATATCAATATGATATTATATAAATTCTGAAAAAGGATCCTTAACATTTTGTCTTAATATCTTTCACATTTTTTTAAAAGCCTTATTTTGTAAGATTGATGCATACCACTTGATTTACTTTATTTAACGAGTAAATTTCACAAAAATATTTTATTACATTCCAAGAATATAAACTCGATATCGAAATATCTACTTCACAATTAAGATGAAAAGCACTTAGGTTGCATATAAAACCATATGGATTTTTTTTGGAAAAGGTATCCTTAAAGTTAATGTTCTGAGCGCAGCTGTGCATATGCCTTCCAAAAAAGCCCCTCAAAGGGCGGGTGTGTTGGCCACGTGAAAGAAAGCCGCTTATGTGCTTAAAACTCTTTGCATGCACATAACCTATGAGTGGACGCCCGGGGGATCACTCGTAATTTACGTCTCTTTTCCCCTCATTTCCGTCTTTCCACCTCATAAACGCCTCAATATGGTTGTGGCCTCTTGGTCAAATGCCCAAAATTGTGGCGCCATTCATGCATTAAATATGCAGCAATCTAATTGCTAAGCTTCGCTTCGCCCACATCCCAACAGCGGAGAAAAACCCCAAGCGTCCCATACCAGAATTCTGGGGAACCCAAGGGACTGACCAGTGGATTTGCTTGCTTCATTAAGAGGAACCTCGAACTGGGGAACTGGGGACTGGGGATTCGCTTTCGGACTCACACTGTCTGCCGTTGACAGCGGCCAAAAGTTGTTTAATGCCAAAAATCTCCTCGCTGAGCATGTGGCCACTGGGCCAGTCCAAAAATCCAACTGTCCAACTCTGTGGGGTTTTCGGTGCCTAAATACTTAAGCCCACAAAAGTATGCAATGAAATTTGCTTGAAACGAGATTTCTGCCAGGACCACAAAACGGTCGAAAAAAACCCCGTTGCTGCTATCCCCAAAATCTTTGCAAATGAATGGGATAATTGGAGGGGATTTTGTGGGATTCAATAACTCTACATTCTTCCATAAAATCATTACACACATGTATAGAAAAAAATGGGTCTATTACAGATTTAATCTGGGGTGTTCTACTAATTCCCTTTGGGCTTGGGTGTGATATAAGCATTATTACATATTATCAAGATATACATAAGATACTCCCTTTGAACCTTGAGTTTGCTAAGGAGAATATCCGTCTACTACCATCATTCATCATATAGAGAAACCCATGAACTATAATATTTCCACAGCGAATTCAATTTGCGTGCCTTTTCGATTATGTGTCCTTCGTGGCTTTTAGCCGCTGAAGTTTCGGCTTAGTGCCAGGTCGCCTTCCGTCTTTGTTGTGAAAGTTGGATGAATTATAGGGCTCCGCGCTAAGCTGCCCCGCCAACCGCTCTCGCCCCACTTCAATCAGCACAATAATTGCATGCGACAATGGATGCATGCCAAGGGGAGGCAATCGCTCTTCCTAGTGTACTTTCCGTATGCCAGGCCCGAAATGTCGACCTCGCGCCATCGGAAGACCCCGCTATCCGACCCCTCGCTCTGGCACCTTCCGGACCCAACTTTTATCACAAGCTGCACAAATTTCCCGGGAGCAAAAACATTGTTCAAGCTGCTAAAAAATAAGCACGTACGCGTTGGAAATGGCAATGCGCCGGAGTTGGGAGCGGAAAGTAGGGATAGAAGGCAGTTAAGTTGCTGGGAAGGCAGTGGTGGGGTTCTGGGGGGTCCTAAATGCCCTCTCCAAGGGGATAATCAACATGTTTTAATTACTCGAGACCACGAAGTATAACTTGGGTTAAAGTTCTTGTACACTATTTGAATTCTCTATAGAAATGGTTTTCATTTATTATACACTTTTGATAAGATACTTTATTTTAAAGGTCTTTTTCCTGTACGTCTTATTAAAATGTGATAAACTGATAGTATTTATGATAGCATCAAATCTATTAGTACATATTGAATCATACATCACTCAAATATTGTTTGGTGAGCTCGAACAGTATCTTTAGATCCGTTAGTTAAAGAGCTGTATTTTCTTATAAATATTTTTTAAAATCCCTGTTAAGTGCTATTTCTGGACCCGCCTCTGGCTCTAATGGCAGCAGGGGGTCGGAGTTTTGTGGCTGGCAGCACGCGAGTGAAATATGTGAACATAACGTAAGGTCAGTCAACGTAACGTCGCGCTACGTAACGAAACGGAACGGAAGGAAATGGCAAAATGCGGCTGGTGGGTGGCGCTGGGATGTGGGCGGTGGGGGTAAAATATCTGTAAAAACAGCTTTTAGCGGCCAGCAGCATCCATGTGTACATGTGTGTGAGGGGGTGGGTGAAGGGGCATAGGGGGTGTGCCTACCGGCGACGTGCTCTGTAAAGCATTTCCGTTAGCGGGGTTTTGGTTCGAGGGGATGTTGGGTTGGGGGTTGGGGGTTGGGCTCTCTATATGGCTCCAAGTGGGTGGCGGCTTAAAGTGCCATCGGCTTTGTTTTCATGCCGCTGGCCTAGAAATAACGCAGTCATGGCAAATATATTTTTATAAAAATTCTATTGCTTTATTTTTGTAGCTTTCGCTAACTGTAGCCATGAATCACAGAAAGAAAAAACTTTAATAATGGTATGTTGGCTGTAAATTTGTAAAAATATTTATATGTTCAAAGTAATCACAGGCAGTAAATGGTATACTTATATTTCTTTAACCATAAACTATCCCTTTTGAAATAACTTAAATCCTATTGACTTATATAGTCTTGAAATTCAAGCGTAGAAACTATTCCAACGATCATATTCAATACTAAAGGTCAAAACAGGTTGTAAATATTTAATACTATCATTACTAATAATGTTTCCCCACCTACACTCAAAAGGTATATATTTTTAATATCTTTTTTCCTGTGTATCCCCTCTTTCCCCAACCCTGTTTACATATTGCGCCACGTTTTGCATTTTGAAAATGCTTCGTTTTCAGAGCATTTCGTGTGCGGAAACGGAAATGTGCTGCTCGTAGCTGCTGACGCGCACTTGAGCGGACCCCAAAACTCCCACACTCCCCACCCTTTTTGGTGTCCTCGCTTCACCTCTTCTTCTTGTTCTGCCAGCCCCCTGGCCACGCCCACTCATTGGCAGTTGTCGAACGTTGTCGCCTGCATTGGCATCTTGGCAACCCATCCCAAAACCCCGCTCAGCCTTTATCGCATGCACATATTTTAATGTGCTGCCATTGCATATCCCCAGGCTAACAGCTACAATGGAAAGAAGCATTGCTGCGTCCCAAGGGTATTCCATTAACCCACTGTGCACAAAGGTCACTAAATTGCCGATAGGTAATGGCATGGAAAAGTGATCATAAAGTATTTTGATGTTGCCTTGAGGCAAGCAGAACAGAATTACCTGAGGGATTTGTTTTTCTATCTATAAACATAATAATATAACAGTCATTTTAAGAATTAATATTCACAGTATGTTCTTTAAATATGAGACTGTATTATAGGCATATACCACATTTAAAATAAAAATGATACATTTGTACTCCATCAAAAAGTCCTTAAAACTTAAAAATATCTCATTCTATATTTCTAAAAAAATGTGGAAGACATTTAGATACCATTTTCTAGTTTTCGAAGTTATTAGCTTACAAGATTTAACTTTAGTTGCAAAAATAAAGAGCCTAAGTCTGAATTAAAATACAAAAACATACTTGTCCTTAGGGGGTTAAGCCATTGGCACTCCAGACATTTGTCGCCTGGTGCGCTTGACTTAAAGCAAGCCCGGATCAGCGACACGTTTGATTTTTGCTGGGAATTTCGCCTTGGATTGCTGCGAGTTGGAGTCAATTCATTGGCATGCAGGGACTCCATTGTCAACTCGAAGGGGGCGTTTGACTTGTGCCAGTGCAAATTTGGCATGGGGCATGTGACTGGCATGGCAATTGGCCCCGTTTCCTGGCCACCATTCTTACTCCCACTTTCCTTTCCAATCCCTGGGACATTACCCCCTCCAAACTTGCGGTGGGTGCATCTCCATTTGCATTTGCATTTGCACTTCCGACAATAACCGCAAAATCGTCAAAATGGCTGCCGTTGGGGGTCTTCGCCCCATCAAATCGGATTAATAATGAAATTGATCAAATTGTTGTGCAAACAGCTGAATGCCTTGCCAGCAGCAGTTCCACAATGCGGAGGATAACTCGTCCTGCCCGTCGTCCCTGTCGTCCTTGTGCTCCTGCCGCCATTGTCCTTATTGTTATCCCAGTTATTGTCCTGTCCCTCAATGTCATGCCTCTGCGCCCATTGTTGTTTCTCTAGATTCCTGTGAGTTTCGCTCTCGACCCGGCTATAATGTCAATGCGACCACAGGCCCGATGACCCGCCCACTGGCCCCCATTCCAAAGGTCCTGCGGAAGTCCTTGTCCGCTGGCATGTTGCTAGCGAATCGCTGAACTTGCGGAAATCTTTATTGCTTTCCAACTTGAGTAGGGCCTTGTCCTTTTCCATCGACAGGAAAACCGTATATGTTTAATTCTTTAAATATCATTTATGAAATGATTTCTATGCTTCAGATAAGCGTTTTATTTTAATTATTTCTTCAAACCATTATACAAACCATTATAAATTAAAAAACCTTTCACAACTTGCTTTGAATACATTTGAAATACCTTTTCATGGAAAAAACAATAAATTTTACAGACCTATTATCTTTAGGAATAGTTTTATATCTTTCATCATAGTTATGCCGAATTCTGACACATCCTTACCACTTACGTAATCAATTTTTCGTAAAAAAAATAATTTTTATTCACCCCTACGTGATTGCCTAATATATGGACAGTCCCTCAACTTTTTTTATATTTATGATACTTTTTACTATCATATAATCTTAACAACTAAATTAATTGCCCTCCCAGACTTAAGTATTATCCTGTTTGCCCAGGGAAACTATTTTGCACAATTAAATTAAGATAGGAAATTGTTTTCAAGACAAATTAGTTTTCCGCTAAAAGAATTCTTGTACCAAAATCCTTTTGAGATTGGAACACAATGCCTTTAATCCCATTCCTTATCAATTCTCCCCGTTTTCCTCGTGACCACTCTTACATCGAATCTAAGCAAGAAAAGAATACCATTCCCCCACACTACGAAGTATAACTTAAGGGATAAGATGCCCCACCTTCTAAGTTCCGCCACTAATTAGAACCAGCTACCTAAATAAATGTCGTGTCCTGAAATCCTTTTGAGAATCCGAAACAGTTCTTTTAATCTTCCACCGCTTTCCCGCTTCCCAGCAGCGCATTAAAGTTTTCGATTTGTTTTCCTGGCCGGGCCAAAGATTTTCCAACAATCAAGTAAAGACTTTCTTCTTGTTTTCCTGTCCCTTGTTGTGAGCTTGGCCTTGTGTCCTTTTGTGTGTGTTTGGCTTCTTGTTTTTTTTTCGTTGTGCAACTCATTTATTTGTATCTGCAAACAATTAAGTTACTTTCTGTCTGGCCGGCCAGTCGTCGCTGGCATTTCCTTTCCTTTTTTTTGTTATCCCTGAGAGGAAAGTTTTGCGAAACTTAAAAAAAATAATCACAAATATCCAGGCGCACGCACACTGGCAAAGGGAAACATACAGAGAAGTTACTCGCTTGTTCAAATGCGATAAGAAAGTTTTTCCATAAATTTTGCACAGCCAGAGCTACTGGGAAAACTTACTGCCGAGCAGCAGCGTTGTGCTGTGCTGTGTTTTAAGTCGGTAAGCTGGCGCCGACAAAGTCCCCTATTTCCCCCTGGCGTTTTTCCTTAGATCCCGAACACCCCCACTTACCCATTTCCATGCTAATGAGGCCGCCTGGCTGAAGGTCAGGTCAGAATGGAGTGCCCATCCCATCCCAACCCTATCTCAATCTCGTTGTGTATTTGCTGATGGCGCATTAGCTGCGATTTTGATTTTCAAATGGATTTTCAAAGGGGACACAGGGACAGAGGGGGGAAGGAAGGAACTGGCACGGACTGGTCAGTGAAACGGCCAGCAATAAATAATAGAGCAAACTGCTAAAACATCGCCTGAGCTGCATACGAAATGAGATCGGAGCCGGCAGCCTGGCACTGGCACTGGCCATGGAACTGGAACTGGAACTCCTGCTCCTCCTAATACGTTTAAGATGAGACGACAACATGTGCAACGCTTGCCGCCATCGACCTTGTTGACCCGAGCATAAATCTTGTGCCACTCGAACGCCAATGCACTTGCTTTTCACCGCCTCTGCCCCCCCCTCTTAAGGGGTCCCCTTTTCCAAGTCCTGGTATCCCTGCTTTTTGCGCATTAAGCTCACGTCGTTGGCCGGCTAGTTGGATAGCTGGCAGCGTTTAAGCTGCCTGATTGCCAATAGCAGCAGTTAGCGTGCTCCATCGATGGGGGCAGCAACAGCTGCACAGGCGACAAGCTGGTCTGGGTCTCCAACAGTCTAGGGTGTCCTTAAATATTCGAAAAGAAAGATTTATAAGTAAATAAAAAAAATATAACAAATATATAACTTTGCTGCTTTTTAACCAAACGCTTTTATATTTAATAGCGTACTCTAACAAATTATTTTCTAATTTCGGTTTTCAATTTAAGATTTTTATGTCGAGCGGTTTTTACTTTACAAGGATCTTCCTAAAATTTAGGTTACACTTTTATAGTACTTTATAGCTAGATAGGCCTTAAACTTACATCATTTCAAATATATCGCTGTAAGTTAGTTTTGTCTAAAACAGAAATTAGGATTAAGTTAAAATATATACTCTAGAGCAATATCTATCCATTTTTCGTATAATGTTTCCTAGGAAGTTAGTATAGCTCCTGTTGGTCGGGTGTCCAGTGCCATTGAACCATCCATTAAATTGTCGTTTGTGCTGACTCGGACCAGCATGTCCTGGCGGCCCCTTTGCCTTGCCAGTTATCATGGCATCGATGTGCCGGCCACTCCACTCCGAATCCGACTGATGCGAGGTTGGTTGGCCTGGACAACGATGACAACGATAGCAACAAGCTGCAACAGCCAGCAGGAGGATCCTGGCGACACGGGAACGTGTGCGTGGCTCAGACAGGGATTTCGAGTTATTTGCCGCAATCTCAGACATAAAGTTAAACATTTCGCTTTCGCCGAGGTTGATTTAATCCCCCGTCGTCACCTCTTTTTCCCCCTTTCCACAGAGCATGGGCTTTCCCCTGGTGTCACTGACGCAAAGGAATCGCACCTACGCCGAGCTGCTGTACTTGAAGGGAGACCCCTGCCCCACGGACAACACCACGGAGCTCTCCACGCGCATCCTTTTCAACTGTAATATGCGTGCCGGTCGTGTAAGTACACTGCTAAAAATCGTATTAAAATATTTGGACTTGCCTTGCCAAATAATTTAAGCCATTCAAAACTGCAACAAATCTTTAAAAATCCTCAAAAAAGAATTGTAACATTTTTGATTAGTACATCTTGGACTGACTAACGCGCGCTTAAAATTAATCCTTTTTTATTGTTAAAAATAGATGTTCTTTCTTAATTTAGGGTCATCCTGTTCTGCGTTTTATTGATGACTGTACCTACGATTTTCACTGGGAGACCAAATTAGTTATCGGATACCTTTCACTATCAAATTATAGTTATTTTTAAACACTTATTTATAAATCATGTTGTTACTAAACATTTTAATATGATTTCCATGATTGAAGTTTATAGACATCTCAAAAATATAGAAACCAAAGGGAAAATCATTCCTTATGTGTAGCTCCGACATTTTCAAGACCTTCTTTCTGCAGAAAGCGTTGAGTGGCTGGGTTGCAGAAAACATACATATATGCGATTATTTCATGGCCACTGGACCCAGATCTGCTGCAAATTGCCTGCATGCTCCTAATGGTTGCTCCACCCTTTGCTCCTCCATTTGCAGGGCCAACCGGTGCTGCGTTCGATTGAGGACTGTGCCTACGCATTCGAGTGGGAGACCAATGTCTTTTGCCCGCCGCACGAGTGCACCTTCAGTGAGGACACCTGCGACCTGGTGCACGACGAGCTGAATCGTAGCTTCAACTTCAAGAGGGCGCCGTTCACCAAGGATGGCAAGATTGAGGTGAGGACCTTGAGAGACTGAGTGGATGTCTGACCAGGAGACTAAATTGCATTTTTCCGTCCCCTTTCAGATCGACTACAATGGCACGAAGATGGCGGTAAACACTTGCGGGGCGCATCGCAAGGCGATGACGGACTATTCGCAGGCGCTGGTCAACATATTCTTCACACACGAGTCGCCTAATTGCGGGCGAGAAGGTGAGTGTGTGCAGTCCCGTCCAGTCCGGCTAATTCGATTTGCATATTCCCGGGGATCAAGGACCAAGGAGAGCGGGAGCAAAGTCCGCGTTGTCGCTAGTCGCTAGTCACTAGTCGCTTGTCGCATCCGTTTCCGGTTCCGTTTCCCCTTCCGCTGGCGCAACACGCGCGCCATTTTGTTTGCCCTCCTTATCTGGCTTTCCGCTCGCCTCTAAAAGCCAGGTTCTTTTTTTTGTTATACCCATTACTCGTAGAGCAAATGGGTATATTAGATTCGTCGGAAAGTATGGCCACTCTAATGTCCACAATCCAGTCTAGCACCCACATTTTCTAAAAGTGTAATTGGCATTTTGTTCTGCTGATCAATACCCATCTACATGCCAACAACTGTTTAAATCGGACCATTCGCTTAAAAGATATAACCAAATAAAGTGTGCCATCTCGGAAACAGCCGAATTGCTGCATGCATATCTCCATCCCCCTCGCACGACCTTTAGCTGAGTCACGGGTATCTAATAGTCGAGGCCGTCGACTATAGCGTTCTTTCTTGTTTTTGGTATGCTTTCGGGTGTTTTGTGTGAAAACGAAGGAATCGCATTAGATTTGGCATACAGCCCAATGCACTTTCCTCGCCGGCACTTCTTGTGAAAATCCTCGCGGCATTTTATCGCGTCATTTTTGTCGCTGGCACTCGTATTTTTTTTTCAAGAGGCGCCGTTCTTGCAACTGCGACATTTTCGGGCATTCTTTTTGGTTTTCTATCATTTTAGTAGTTTGCTTTTTAACTAAGATTCCTTTTTGTCCTTCCCGTCTGCAAGCAAAGTGCCTGAAATTATACAATAAAAAGGAATTATACAAAAAATATCAAGGAAACGAAAAAAACTGTCTACGAGATAATGCGGTAAAATAATCTTGCTGCACTTGGGAAAATCTCTCTTTTTCTCTGGAGCCTTTCCTGTTTTTCTATACATTTATACGTTCGTTTTTTTCTCGGCTGATGTGATACTACTGCATGAATTTTTAATGCATGCATAGCAGACAAACTGGGTGGATAGGTGTTTTTTTGAGGGGGGCTTAAGAGGCTAAGAGGCATCCAGAGATTTTCCCCGAGCCACCGGGGTTAGCTGCCTTATATTCGCACAATCATTTTTATTCAAACCATTGCATGGCACTTAAAACTTTGCCATTAAAACCAAAAAGTTTTTATTTTGACAAATAAAACTGACGACGATTTAATTATGACACATCTCCATTGTCTTCAGCCCTGGCCGTAAAATGGAATTATTTTAAAACTCTGTGTGCGGCACACAAACTGTTTCGCCATTGTGGGACGACAATGCGCAATCTGCAAACGATCAGACAATTTTAATATGCCCAGTGACAGGCGTTAGCAGATACCAGAAATGAGTGTGGGTGGCTGGAAGACTGAATGAATGGATGGATGGAGCAGGAGCTGGGGACCTTGGCCTGCCCAAATCCCAACGAGTTGTAGATTTTGTGTGGCTTTGCGACCGAAGCTAGAGGCTTTGATTCCCCCACTCCACAGAGGGAAAAATACTCATTTGACCGACAACAGTAGCAGCCTGACCCTGCAGGATTCCAGGACAACCAGCTGGGGCTGTAGCTGTGTTGTCGTCTGTGGTGATAATTATTTTTGGCTTTTATGCGATAACTTTGCGGCGTCCAGGCCCAATCCACTTTGTCCCAGAACCCCTTGTGCTGTATCATTTGAAATTTTGATAAGGATGCCAGGGTTACTGTGTGTGCAAGGAGACGCCTTTGTCTGGGCCATTAAAATGGAAAGCCTGGCTTTCGGGGCTGTCTCTGCTCATCTACTGCCTTTCGTACGCTTTTATTAGGGTTAAGATTGTTTTGAATTGGGGCTTCATTTGAACTAATTAAAGTGGTCTCGAAACTAATGCCCCATTATGTTAACACTCCTTCGCAGGAACGATGAACGTCCAGATCCGCCTGATATGCAGCAACCAGACGGAGAGCAGCAGCACCATCTCCAGCGTAAGTACAAAGTATTGTATATATCCTCTTACCTGAATCAGTAAACATCCCATCTGGTGCTTATTCTTGGCTCCTCCTCCGGGGATTACAAAGGGTTGTGCAGCAGCACGCCTTTCAGCGACCTGCCAAATGCGCATCAAAGGAACACAGCGGGAATGGCAACTGTAGGGATATTTTGCATGCTTTTTATTCTAATACCCTACCAGAGGGTAGATGAGCTACGTTGAAGAGTTAAAAAGCTAATCATCCTTTCGGACTTAAGAGGTTGATATGAAATCATTTATAATTCTACCTAAAAGTATGCTTTAACTTTGAAACTTATGAAAAATGTTGCATACTTTCAGACACCTTTATAAGTGATTTCACAATTCATGGCTAGAATTTTAAAGTAATTCCTATTTTATAAGTTGGGTGTTCACCCTTTATTGCAAGGGTATGCAAATACTGGCTACCTGAAGTTATTTCCCCTACCCTTTATATTCTCCGGTTGTTTTGTGAATGCGAACAAGAAATCTTGGCAGTCGGTGGGTCCGTTCTCAAAGTCTCGCCACAAGGCACAGATCCTGGGCTTCAAAGCGAAAATGTAGGAAATATGTGTGCGGAAAAGGGCAACAAGGGACCAACTGACGCAGCAGGGCCGCCACCTTGGAAGGGGGGCGGTGGCTTGTGGGCGGTGACTTAGGAGGTGGGTGGTTTTGGAGAAAGGATCTCTGGGCTTTGGAGTGCGGCAGGTGTCCTTTGTTATGCTTACCACTTGGCAATCGGCTTTGCCTGTGCATCTTTCTCATTTTCAGCCCTTTTCAACCGTGGCCGTGTCCTTTGTCCTTTGTCTTTTCATATTTTCAGTTCTGTTTTTGCGGTTTGCTTTGCATTTCTTGCTTCTTGTCTAATACCTTCACCTGGTCTTAGCTGCTGGTGTGGAGCTTTTGTTTCCCGGGTTCATTCGGGTCGCCCCAGGTCTTTGTTGTCATCAAGAACGGGATGCAGCTGCTGGCCTGACCCCATTTCGGATCAGATGGAGAGATATGCATGCATTGTGTTCGCATTGTGACCCCTTCATTTATTGGCCTGGTGACCCCTGGACTTTTGGCAGAGCAGTGCAGCATAAACCAGGGATTGTGAGTGTGCCTTGCCATGCCAGCAGGCGGTGGTAGTAAATTGAATTACAAGCCAGCCTTTTATACTGCAACTACCTGCCGAGTGCCCTTGTGTCTGGGTAATAATATAATTAAGTTGCATTCGCCTGCAGCACTTTGACTAATGACCAAGGATCCGACTTTGTTGTGGCTTCTCTGGAAGGCCAGCATCATTAGCATGCATGCCCGACTCTCTCTCTTTAAGCTAATTAATAATTGTTTGTTTTGCTTGGGCGACAATTAACCGCAGGTTACTGAAATATACTTCCCCGTTCCTACCCATTTTGCCAAGCACAATGCATCGTAATTAGTGAGTGGATTGCATTAGCTGTTCCAGCCAGGAAAAACGTTTCGCAATTAGTGCTTGAGGTTGAAAACCCCCGAAAAACGCCGAAAACACTCGATGTCCCATCATCAGACCGCACTTGTAGTCGATTACGCAAAAATTACGCCCGAGGAAACGCTGTTTGATTGAAAATGTTTGCCGGTCCATTTTGTAGGTCGATAGTTTTATGTTTTACTCGATCCAGACAGCACTCGACTCGACTCGATTTTGCATTTGTGGCACCAGGCAATTGACCCAAATTTAAACCAGCTGCAAGCTGTTTGCCACCTCCGACAAACGTTTCCAAATGCCATCGCCACTGGGGAGTTGGGATGTCACAGATGCGGGTTGTGGCCTCTGACACCCCTCTGTCCACAAAACGGACCACACATCCCGAAACTCCCGCACCCACTTGGCAAATGCCACCACCCATCCACCCTTAACCAACAATCGAATCGAGGCACTGCCTCCGATTTTGGGTGGCCACTTGTGTGAGTGTTCATATGTATATATACTATCCCCAGATGTTAATTGCTTGACACGCTTCCTGGGATCTTTAATATTTTCAATTTCTTGTTTCACACAGCTAATACATCTGACTAATGTAGCCAACTCAACAGGTTAAGCCGAACAAGATGTTCTGGGCAGCCTGGCAGCCAAGTTGAAATGGGGGAAAAGAAAGCTTTTCGCTGGAACAACCCATCACGCTTTAATCCTTGAACTGCAAAGCGGAAAATAGCACTCGACTGTGCACTTTGAAAAATATTATACATCTTACAATAGAAATGGTGGAGAAGATATATAGAACTTTGTTTAAGATTACTTTATTTGTAGGTCACTTAAGAATTTGTATTATTTATTAATTGTAATAATAGGGCTGCCTGAGAAATCACTAGGGTTTTAAATTACTTTAAAATAGTAGGTATCTAAAAGTATGCAATAATATGCAAACACAATATGCAATAAATACATAATTGTCATCTGAGTTCATTGCACTTCTGAGTTAAAAATATATTGTTGCATACTTTTAGACACCTGAAAAATAAGGAAGGTGTTATCTGAAAAATGTTGACTTTATTCCCTCTTTAATATCAAATTTTCCCAGTGCACGTGTGCATTTATAGCATACTATATATATAAACACAGCGAAGGACAACTTTTGGGTGGCAACAAAAAGGAGCTGTGTACACGGTTCCTGGTACTGGCAGTGGCTACAGCCAGCGACGCTGTTGGAAAATTAGCGATTCAATGAAATGGGATTTTAAATGGCTGCAAACTTTTTAATGCGTTGCCCCCCGTTCGTCCTTGGTCCCGGGATCCACCCAGTCCAGCCCCCTCTCCTCGCGGACATGTTCGTGTCTGGTGCGGCGCCTCCGCGTGACGGGAAAGTTTGTGCCACATCGCCATCTCGCCAGCCAGCGAGCGTTTTTGCCCCGCCACTTGCAGTTGCCAGTTGCCAGTTGCAGTTACGCCGCAAAAGTTTTTAAATTATGCGCACATTTGCTGTTTCATTTTGCAGTCGCTGGTCGCGCCGGAAATGGTCTTTGGGTGAAAGTGTTACACACAGCAAGGGTTTCTCATTGCCCCTTTTTCCTTTTTTTGTTGTTAGTAGCCAGGCGGCAGGATGCCGGAAACAAGCTGCAAGCAGTTGTTGCGCCTGGGTCCACTCCACTCGTATTTTACTCGGAATTTATGCCCCCGTCTCCATATCAATTTATTTATTTATTTTTGCTCGCAGCCCTTAATGAAGAAAGTTTCTAATTACACGAATCCGCTTTCTTGCAGGACCAGCAATGCAATTTGCTTTATGTGCAGCGAACGCCGAGCATCTGTGAGTTCCTCTCCCTGGGCGCGGCCCAGCAGGATGGTAGCTCCAGCACGGGCACCTCGTCCTCCACATCCTCCTCCACATCCACATCCAGCAGCACCACCACCAGCACCACTACTCAGGCATCGCCAGCGGGTAAGCCAACCAAGGCGGCCACGTCGACAACGACAACAACAGCTGCTCCCGATCCGGCGGCTACTCCCATCGGGCCAACGGCCTCCGTGGGCAGTAAGTGCAGCTGGCCCGTATGATCCCCCTTTGAATCCATCGCTTATCCGCCCCGTTATCCCTTCGCCTTTCAGCCATCCTGGCCGCCATCCTGTCGGTGACCTTCTGTGTGACGTGCCTGGGCCTGTTTGCCTTTTCCCCGGCGCGGAGGCAGCGCGTCCGCCGCCTCTTCCGGCGCAGCAACTCCGCGGTGCGATACTCCCGGGTAAGTGGCCTTTTAATTAAGAAGCTCCTTATCATTTTGTGTTCAAGGGAAGAGATTTGTACTTTTAATTTCTTAAATTGTAGAAATATTTTTCAAGAGGGTTTTTTTGTTTGTGATCTAAAAAGCTCCTTGTTTAAAATCTTTTGCCTTTAATTAAGACCTTTTTCATAATTTTGTATATCACTATCTCCCAATCAGGTTCAGTCCAACGAGGAGGCCAACCTGCTGCTGGAGCCCAATGGCGAGTTCACCGAGAGCGATGATGACATGCTGCTTTAGGTGGGCCCAAGCCAAACCAAGTCGTCGTCGGACGCCTTCTTAGCCATTAGCATGGGGCTGGGGCACAAGGTGGTGGAACGAGCGAAGCGGGGGTAGCTAGTTAAAGACACGAAAGATCCCAAAGTGAGTAACATGGAACACCAAAGACATAACTGAAAACTGGAACTGATTGTGAGCTAAACAAAAACAAAAAAAGAAAACAAGTAAGGATAAGATGGGGGCGAACTGCTGATATAAAATTGTACAATACGCGTAGGCTACAACGACGACTTACCGAAAACCAATTAACGGAACCATATATATACACATTATATATTTTATATACCCTTCGTATGTAAAGGAAAATCCCAAAACCAAATCCAAAACCAAAACCCAACCCGTACCTATAGCTATAGATAAATGCGGCCTGCATTCGCCAGAGAATTGCAAAGGACAATTGCTTCAATCATATGTTCGCTGAATGCTAGATATATAACCTATATGACGCAGCAGCTTTTTTCCTTCCATTAACCAAGTGATTTCATTTTAAACACTTTCAAGTGCAGCTTGGATGCAATTTATATAATATTCCCTTGAAACGATTTGTATTTTATTCTAAGGCAATTTGTACTTACTATTTTTGTTTGTGTCTTGTGTTGTTTTAGTTGATTAAGGCGAGCCTCATTAAAAACGGCTAAATGTACAATTTTAAATGTATACATATATAATAAAATCTTTAAAAAATATATAAAACCAACTGCTTTTACTGACTTACCTCTGAATATTTTGGCCAATAATAAAAAAGAACTCCAATGGGTTACATTTTTAAAATATATTTTATTTGCGTTGTATGTGTTTTCCATATACAATTAGATTTAATTTACTCATATGCATTACAGAGTAGATGAGTGTGTCTGCATAAATTTGTAGGTACCTTAGGTATTACATATCAGAGACAATCTATAGCTTAGACGATATACACATACTTTAGCTTAATTACATTTACGTATCATAGACGATATTCTGTTTCGTGTGAATGAAGGGCTATCCTAATTGTTTGGTAGATGACGTGATAATGGGTATGTACTCGGTATGTACTTATTTATATAGCGTCATTTAAATGGGCGTGAGATTACAATTGATATTCGTAATAGTTGTTTGTTTGTGAGTAGTAAATCTGGTGCGATACGTTTTGGAGAAAGTACAGAAATTCTTGCCCAGCTTATGTACAGAGTGGGGGTGTTTTATGTGTATGTATCGATTATTATGGATCCTTAGGCTCTACATATCTAGCATACATACATACATACAAAGAAGGCAATTTGTATTCCATTTCGGCTGCTTTTGCTATGTTAGTTCACAATTACAGAGTCTATGCTACTATTTGGATACGTCATATGTGTATTGCAAGTGGTTTTCTTAGTGGTAGGCTGCGTTCTAACAAATAATAATTAGGTATTTCGAAATAAAGCTCGATTTGTTCAAAACTCAGATTCCTCCGTTCGCTTGAGATTCTGTTCAAAGGTAAAAAATCGTAAATAATAGTGGTCATTTCAAAAAGGTATATGAGCTATTCTCAGTTTTGCATGCGGCAGCTTCGAGTATTCCTAATGTACAAATAATTACTAAATAAATGAGATTTGTATGTCTACAAGAGTCTGCACAGGGTTTTTTAGGCTAAGCTTACATATAACACTTAAAACAGAGTGATGTGGTAAAACTAGGTTGTCTCTCCCTCTTTCGTACCTTCCTCAAACTAATATTTTTTTTGTTTTTCATTTTCTTCAACAAAGGCCACATGAAATATTGGAAATTTGAAATTTTCATTAACTTTTCCCGGAGCTCCTACAAGCGCAAGATAATTAAACCTAGGAAGGGGCGGCGAGGACGTCGACTTGACCAAAAACACAAGGAAATCGATAATATTCTCTAGACTTTTTACATTCAGCTGGGTGCTTCTACCGTCTCACCATCTCAGTGGCAGTGGTTCGGGGAGGCTTCTCCTCTCAACGGAACAATAGCTCATCGTCGGGATCGAACTGGAATAGCTCCGCCTTCTCCCAGTCCTATACGTCGCTCTGTTTGGCATTCGTGTTGATGATGAAGGCGCCGTTGATGTGGCCATTCACATGCGACTTGCCATTGGGTGTGTACAGATTCGTCAGTCCGTTCTTGCCGTTGGCAATCATGATGGCCGGATGCGGGGTGACCCCGTTTAGCTGCGCCACCAGTGGATTCTTGGTGGCCTCCGCCGGCGGCGTGGTCAGCGGTGGCGTCACCGGCGACGGTTTGATCAGCTCCAGCTTGTCGTCCGTGGAACCTTTCAGTGCCGTCTTGATCAACGCTCCGTTGCCAATGTTTCCCACGGGCCGGCGATGGGGCAGGGCGAATCGCAGCTTATCCCAGAACCATGGATCGCCCCACTTCAGATAGGTGTTCATTTTGAGGTAGGCCTTCAGCTCCTCGTCCAGCTTCTCCACATCACCAATGTCCGAATAGATGATCACTATGATGCGGGAACGTCCCTCATTCAATGCCGATCTATGAGCTGCCCTGAATTCCAGACGTGCCCACTCCGATTTGATGAAATTCTGGCTGAGCACAATGATGGTACGCCTCGAATCCGCCACCGAGCGCATAATGTTCTCTGGGATGTGTCCACCGACCAGCCAGTCGCGTTCGTGGACGCAGAGCTGGAACTTCTGAGGACCATGCTCCAGTTGCGGCACCAAATAGTCCTCGATGAAGCTCTGATCCTTGTGCGAGTACGAGATGAAGGCATCGAACTTCTTGTCCTTGTCCAGCTCCTCCTCGGTGACCAGCCACAGGAGCAAGTTGTGGGCATACAGCCAAATCTTGATCTCCGTCTGGTATTTGTAGTACAGGGCAGCCGTGAAACCGGCCAGCAGGCCAGTCAAAGCAATCACCACAGCCAGGGCAATATAGACGCCCTTCTCTCCGGGACAAATATCATTCGTGGACAATTCCACCATCCTTGTGGGTATCTCGGCGTCCATGCACATCATCTCATTGCGATCCCCGATCCTCTCGAAATTGTCCTGGGTAAAGAGCAGCAGTGGTTTGGCATCGCAGTCGCACATCCAAGGATTTCCAGACAGCTTCATCGAGCGCCATTTCATGGTGCGATTCAGGAAGCCCAAGACGCTGGCATTCAGGCTCTGCAGATGATTCCAGCTCACATCCAGATGCGTGAGATTCGACGGCAGTTGCTCCACATCGAGGTGCGTGAGATTGTTGCCAGTCAGGTGCAGGCTCGTCACATTCGCATAGCCGGGTGTCTTGGAAGATGGCAGTCGGAGCAAAGTGTTGTTCTCCAAATGCAGCTCCATGATGTGAAGGTTCTGGGGCAGCTCAGGTAGACGGGGAACATGGGTCAGGTTGCCACTATTGCTCTTTATCACCAGTGCGTTGTCGTAGGTTCGCACCATGCACTCACAGCCCAGTGGACACTTTCTCTGCCGCGGATCATTGGTTTGGTCCAGAGGACAGAGCAGCAGCTTTGGATCCAACAGGCGCACTGGAGTGTCCTTCAAATTGTTCGGCATACTGCAGTTTAGTCGGTCTGCCTGAAGGATCAAATTCTTGGCATATTGCGGTCTATGCACGCCCTTGACCAGCTGAACAAACCAGAGCAGCGTGCAGGAGCAATCCAGCGGATTGTCATTGACATCTATATGAACCGGATTCCTAGCCTGGACTCCATAATCCTTCAGCAGCGAGATATTCCGTATCTTGTTGTGCGTCAGGTTAACGTGCAACCTATTACCGGATATGAATTGCAGATCCTCATAGCGCAGTGAGCTAATGTTGTTGTAACTCAAGTCCAGCTCCCTCAACTTAGTCATGACTGTGACCCAGTCTCCGTAGACGAATATGATGGAGTTGTTGCGTAGATTTAGGGTCTCCAGATTGGTCATAAAATTAAACGGCGAGTTGAGCTGGCTTTGAATGCTTGTGCCCCACAGAGGTTGTATCAGGTCGATATCGTTGTGATCCAAATGTAGGTGACGCAGTTCTAAAGTGCTAGCAAAAGCGGCAGAGTGGATGGTTCTCAGTCGATTTTTGCTAATTGTCAGGGTCACCAGCTTGCGCAGCCTGCTGAATAAGTCACTGTAATGGGAGAAAATTAGATATAATTAGTAATGTAAAGAAATCGTGTATATATATAACATTTTAAAGTAAACTTAAAGGAAGACTGTGTGAGCCGCAGAAGTGTGCATTTTTAACAATTAATTTCATTTTAATCAAATAGTAGCACTAAAACCCGTTTGTAATTCTAGTACTTAAAAAAATAGTTGTATTTACCTGCTAATGTCAGTGAGAAAATTATTTTCCAGACGCAGTTCCTCCAGATTTATGGTATTTTCAAAGAGAGAATCTGGCAAATGTGTCAGCTTGTTGTTGCTCAAATCCAAGCTCAGGAGGTTGACCTGATGTTCCAGCAGATTGGCGGGTAGTGTGCTTAACAGGTTGTCCTCCAGCGAGATGTTGGTGATCTGTGTGGAATGCTCGAAGAGATCGCCGGGCAACGTCTCCAGGTCGGCTCTCAGCCGTAGGATCTTCAGTTCCGGCTGGTTGGCAAACAGTCGCGAGGGCAGAGTGTCAAGTTTCACACGGTTGTTCATCAGGCGCACCTCGACCAGGTGTTTGTTGTGCTCGAAAAGACCCTCCGGCAGGGAACGGAAGACATTGGCGCTCAGATTGATATCCGTGAGATTCGTGAGATAGGTGAAGACATCGTGCGGCAGCTGCTCGATTCCATTGCCATGGATATCTATACCAACCACCGAGGTGGCACCTTCGAAATCGTGCTTGGTGAGATTGTGCAGCTCATTGCTCCACAAATTCAGGTGCTTCAGCTTGGGCATCTTGCTAAAAATGCCGCGCGGCATTTGCCGCAGCTTGTTGCCACCAAATTCGATGAACTCGAGGTTCTCTAGGCCGTCAAACATATGCGAAGGCATTTCTTCAATGTTTGCACACAGCTCCAGGTGACTTAGATTCCTCATATTAGTTAGAAGATTGGCTGGAACATGGGTCAGTCGACGGGTGGTGAACCGGAAACGCTTGAGACTGTGCAAGTGATCCAAATGCTGCCTTGTGATGTTCATCCCTAGGTTATCGCTCTCGAAGATCAGCGTTTTCGGCGACACAATGCCGAGGTAATCCAGAATACTGGCCACTGGCGCGTGACCAGGCAACATACACCTCCTCATCTGCACCCTATCCACTTCGCCGATCCTCACTTTCCCCGGCAACTGCCTGTAGTCATTGCTGTCCGTCTGATTGCACATGATCTGCACATAGTCATTCGGCTGGATGGTCAGTCTGAAGGTGGGATTCTCCGAGTACGCCGGGCAGATGATCTCGTATTCCGACATGATGGGTGAGCACTGGCATGATCCCTTGATGCTTATCTCGTTGCACGCGTCCCTGCCAAAGGTTGCCTCACTTCCTGGGCAGTGGAACAGTTGCAGGATCACCAGGAGCACCGACAGCTCAAAAGCCGTCTTTAGTCGACTCATGGTGGCCAACTTCTATGGTCCTTTTGTGTTTTTTATAACTGAAAGTAAGCAAAATAAGTGGGTTTATTAGAAATAAATTTGTTCCAAACTTATAAACATAGGCATATTTGCTCCTAATCTCTATATGATTTATGTATCTTTATCACGTTTTATCAACTCAAGGAAAT